CCGAGTGGAGCAGATCTTGGGGTGACTGGTTACACGGAAAATCAAGAAGAAAGGTACATATCATGTGATTCTGTTTCTAAGTTTGTCGGCTGTGTCACCACAGACTTGTTCGCTCTCAGTGATGATTTTCAACAGAGGTAGCATGGAATACAAGTACGGGCTTTGAAGGGCGATACTATAGATCAATACCGAGCTGCTGCATCACCGCGTGTGAATTGTTGCCAGTAGCAGTTCACAATTTTGATGGATGATGAGTGGATCGAACCCATGATCTCGAACGGTGTCGAAGATTCTCGACCGTAAAATCTTTCAGAGTGCGTACATTCTAGAGCAGCACCGAGTATACTCTACCCCTCCTTCTGACTATTTTTTCAGATGGCACACATGATGTCATTTGAGTCGGAGGTTTAGCTGAAAAGCATGAAAACGGACTCGAAATGCATCGATTCAGCACTTGTTCGAAAGCACAAATTGCAAAGTGTTTTATCCTCCGATGTAGTCTAGCTGGTTAGGATTCGTGGCTCTCACCCACGCGACCGGGGTTCGAGTCCCCGCATCGGAATTTGTTACGGTACTGTAAGCAGATCGGGTCGCTAACCAGAACAGTTTCTCGTAAACTAGATAGAAGCATCATTGGTCTAGTGGTAGAATACAACGTTGCCATCGTTGTGACCCGAGTTCGATTCTCGGATGATGCAGACATATATCAAAGCTCGAACCAAAGGCCCCCTACCCTTCTCCTAACATCCTATTCTCTTATCCCCCTAGCCCTCGAACAATGTTGGCAAAGAAGTTTATCTCCCCCAACGGAAGCTTGCCGAGTATCAACCTTGTTCGGGGGAAGCGGGCCGCACTTCCAACACTTCTTTGGAAGTGTTTGAATCATGAGAGCACGAACTGGTACTCTCTCGGAATCTGACTCAAATCTACAACCAGGTAAGCACGAGATTCCTCTCCTGAACATGTGATGAGCTTGAGGAAAATAAAATCCACAATCACCATCCACATAGGGATAGTGATATGGCGCTCAGGGAACCGCATCATAACTCTACTCAAACACATGAAATAATGATTCAGAGAGAAAAGGCTCGAGTTGAGAATGTAGGGCGTTCCTAGAGCAACAGTATTAGAAGACTTTAGCCATGATGCTCAATCTCATCTCTTATCCTATAAAAAGCTATCTATAGAAAACTTAGCGATGTCTACAGATCCATCGTTAAGGAGCGGATGGGAAGGAGGGGGGCGCAGTCGGCTTCGGAGGCCTTCTCAAGCCCGCATAGTGACAAATTATACGCATCGCTGCCTAGAATCAGAAAACGAGATAAACTAAGCTATCCCAAATCACTCTACCTCTTTGTCCACACGCAATCGTGGCCCATTAGGTGTATCCTCGAGTACCCCATTCGGGTTGAGAGAGTCCTCCTGACCAGAGGTCTGAAAACCAGACAATTGTGCAGGATACCGAGCTTCTAGCCGAGATGAAAACAGCTGCAACGACACGCCCCTAGTCACTCACTTCGCGCGATGTCGTAGCTCCTCCCGATCGGCGTGCAACTGTATTTTCTACGGTCAACGCTTCAATGGTCGCGCGCAATACTTCAGGGTCAACATCAAGCTACAGACAAATTGGATAGCAGAATAGCGTCGAATGAACTGGAGGAGCTACTTCCTGGGATGGGTCGATGGGAGGGACGCTCCGGCTTAATCCACTCGATGATGGCGAAGGTGCACCGGCTGATGAAGAGATCGCGGGGGCGAGCTGAGCAAGAGTAACAGAGGTAATCAGGAAAGTGGGTGGTGAGCCGCTCATACCTGAGGCGCAAGTGTGTGTTCCGGAAGCCTGGGAAGGTTGGATTTCTCGACTCCTGGACTCGTTGAAGGTGGGCTGTCTTGAGTAAGCATCAGTGCCTACCGATCTGGGTGAACGAGCAGAAATATTCGTCAACTTACTCCTTCTCCCCATTCCTCGTCCGTTACAGGGACATTCTCCAAATTGAGCATGCCCGCCTCAACATTAGGTGTGTACGTTCTTTGATGGCCGTTCCCTCCCCCGCGACCACTCCCCTTCCGGCCACGACGGTTGGCGTTCCCACCGGTCTGGTTCCCAGAGAGTGACCCATCAGACGAGCGTCGATTACCACTCTGACACGATAGATATCGCTGATTGTGAAGTCTTCTACCAAGAACTCACATGCGAGTACTTCCCTTTTCCACGACCCTTTCCTTTCCGCTGGGCTTTTTCCCCACCCCAATCGGTAGAGTGACCCTGACGCTGGGAGTGCTGGTAATGCTCCCAAACAGGGTGCGACAAGCTCCCACCATCTTGGTTCAAACCTCGCTCATGGGAGCGATGTTGAACTTTATGGCCGCCATACCCAAGGATATCTCCACCCCGAGCTGGAACAGATTCGCCTGCTGCCATACGCAGAATCGCGTCCACAACTTGGGAAGGGGATGGTGGATGAGAATTCTCCTCGAGATTCTCTTGGGTATACTGGGGAAACGATCGCATCAATCTCCCAACCACATAAAGCTATAACCGAGACAGTACGCTGCATACTCTGCTTATGAGAGCATCCCAATCCCCAGGACTATCAACCAAACACTAAGCGATAAGCAAACGACTTCAAGTGCTCTGAACATTTTAGATACAGATATCGACTGTCTTGGACTGTATTACACATAAGATGAATATATGATATAACGAGAAAGGAGCACGTTCAAGGTAATTCACATCAATATCCGGACGAATTGATGAGCATCTCCCTGACGGCCCCAGTATTCGTAAACACATACAAATCTGTGATGCTAGCAATTAGGCAGCACCAACTTGAGGAACTTGAAGAATCTAGAGCTCCACGTCGTGTACACCGAGACGTTTTCCCATGTCCAATAGCTCGTTTCGGTAGTAGCTCTCAAGCTTGTCGTAATCTTTCACGATACTAGGATCAACAACCATGTTTAACATCAACTTTCCATTATAGGACAATACGATCACCTATGAATAAGCGAGTATCGACATCATTCACAGTGTTCGTTATGATGGCTATATTACCTGATCTATGATGTTGAGGAATATAGGATAGATGAACTCAATCTCCTTCCCAGCGAAACAGCAAGGCTGTTGGGCTCCAGGGACATTGGAGAATACAACGGAATTCCGAGCGAAGAGATCCCTACTCGACTTCTTGGCGAAAGCAGAGGGTACGAGAGGCATCACTGTGTTGGTGATGAACAGTGAAGCCGGCGATATGAGAGACCGCTTGATACGATTCATACTCGATCCAGTAGCTAGAAGCCGCGAGATGGAATCCTTAGATCTGATGGCCTAAGGCAACACAAGAATTGAGAATGAGAAGACATGATATCGAGAGGCTACCTTGCTTAGATCAACACTGCAAAATGACCAACTATTGCCCAGTCTATCGCCTTGAGGCGGAGTGGTGGCACCAAATTGAAGTGGGGTTCCCATTGGTATCAACATCCTCATGATGGTCTTACTATCCACAGCTTCGCCTCCATACCGCCTCATGGCACCGACCATCGCACCCAACAACACATCATTAACTGTAGCCTGGCAGAGGATAACTCTGACATCGACGGGGAATGACAGCAGTACAGGCTTACCTTTCTAGGCGACTTGTTCTTCACAGCCTTGACATAATCCAGGGAGAATGGTTGGAAGCAAATAGACTTCCGAAGACCGCTGTACTGGAGATCACCCTTACGATGAGCAAGAGAGGAATTGAATCCGTACTCGGTCTCATAACATTTGCCATTTTGCAAAACAAAGCTCAAGGCTGATCGTAACTGAGAAATCACAAGTAAGTTACAACGAATACTTCACTCAACGATAGTACCCATTCCAATGCATATAGCAGTGCAAATACGGGCTTAGCCAGCGGATTCATCCTTTTGGGTTTCTTATCCTTAGGATTAGTGAAAGTGATAGGACTTCCGTCAAGATTCGTTGCGGTCTTCTCCAACACTTGTACCTATAATATGAGACATTTTCGAGGCAAAGACGAGTGATGTAAGCAATGTCCTACGAGACTGAAGCCATCCCCTATGGTGTGATGGCATCGGAAAAGCATGCAATCCTTCACATCCACAGCTCCTTTGGCAGCGGGCAGCATATAAATTCTCCACAATGGCTTATCAGTTGGTAATGGCTGGTTGATAATCTGAAAGCAAGACAATCTTGGAGGACGCGAGTTCAACGAATAGACAATAATACCTCCTGAATCTTATCATCCAATGCTTTGCGGTCTTCGATTACATCGCTTGCGAGGATATGCTCCGACAGATCAATATTATCTACGACCTTCCATCCATGGGTCTCCACGTCAGGGATGCTTGAAAAACGGACGAAGAATAGTAACTAAATGGAACGACGAGTGGTATATAAACTAACACTATCAATTATCCCACCTTCTCCTTGACAACTTCTTCGACCTGCTTTCTACTAGGCATCGAGTCTTTGAACAGCATTGCACAATTAATAACATTGCAGGTAGAGGGTAGGTTACACTCCTTGGGGAAACAGTCACTCAGCAACATGTGTTCCTCCATCCAAGTCATCGGCCGCGGGCCTGAACCTGATCAAACTACGATAATGTTCAGCTCTGTGCGTGCATAACCCGTCTGCGACACTCGACACTTGGGATCTAGTATCACCTGTTCTGAAGCGCATAGCCCAATGGAATAGGATATTCCCCAACACTGCCACGACTAGAGTCAGTATGGTGACCACCACAAGGTAGGTATAGTCGCAAGAAAGCATGACAATTGAGGTCAAATAAGAACTATCTGCAGTACGATGCACTGAATTCCCTACTACGAATCATTAACTAGAAGTAATTCACTTCAATCCGGAATATTTGGACAGCTAGGCATGTGGAGGAGGAGCTTCACAAAATAGTCAATTACCACTCCCATACAGACCAGGTTAGTCTGACTAGCCACATGAAAAATTACTGGACGATTATACACGGGGCAGAAAGTCCGAGTAGTGATTTGCTGCAGCGTTTTAACACAAATGCGTATCAACTTGGCGCGCGCCATTAAATGTCCCCAGGTGCCTAGATGATTGGCCTCAGACAGCGAAGCAGTGATGTAGTGTCAATTCCACGTAGCAAGTTAGCATTCACGTGCTGTGGACCTAGCGTCAGCCCTAAGCTATTCAACAACCGCGCATCTCGAACGACTCGCAACAATCATTCATCTGGGCATCTAGTCATCATAGGTGGTTTCTTTGAGCAACTTCGCAAGAACACCGATAGATGATTGTACAACGGTCACAGACTCTCGAATTTCTAAAGCATTTTCATAACGTATCTCTGGTCCCGTGACATTGGTTAACTGGCGATCGGTTGAGGTAGCACTAGATGATATAAGGGTTAGCTAGTTAACACAAGTTAAACACCGACACGAAGAGCGCGTCATACAGTGCGTCTCCGTGACACACGTGCCTATCATCGTGGTTGGTCGACCGTGCGCGGCGTCGCATGACCTGCACGCGCCCGCCGTAGCGCAGCCCGCGCGGCGACAGTAGAGGCGCTCATCGGACTGACTCGATGCTTCGAGGGTCTAAGCCACAGACACCTTCTTCTTTCCTGCCCACCAGACCCACAGGCTCAGGAGTGGGATATTTAGCATGTAGCTAGAATGCGATCTAAGGGCGAGGCGCGATAGAAATACCCTCCGTAATTTGCAGATCCTTACTAACTACTGACACCAACAAAACTAACAAAAGGTCACAAAATAAAAAGTTCCGGATAACTATCGCCAAATTTTAATCAAACCATCACGGCCAGCAGTAACAAGTATATCGTATTGCAAAGAGAGGACACACATGTCCAGTATAGCGTCTCTGTGTCCATCATCCACTCTGAGATCCGAGTCGCCTTGCTCCTCTACAGGAGTTCCCTGTCCACGAGGTGTCATAGAGGATTGATGATGACCGCTAGAAGCTGCATACGATGGGTTGGTCATGACTTGAACCCCTCCCAATTGCAGTGGCATAATTGAGGACTGATTGGAGAATGGTATGACAGTTCCCGCCTCTTGAGGCTGCCACCATCGCACTACAGCATCATTGCCTGTGCTAAGCAAGGTCCAAGGACCTCCTCGAGATGTAGAGATCTCCAGCATTGATCTCACTACCAAGCTACTAGGATCCGCACACTCCTTCACTTGTTGTGTTAACATATCGGCTCCGACTAAGAAGCTTTGCCTTGGTTGTGACCTCATATCGACGAGAACCGGTAAATTGATCGGATTCGACTGTTCACCACAAAGCATCAACTTAGTCGGCCGAACATCACCATCGAGCGAAGTAAAGTCATATAGTCCCATCATACCATGTGTTCCTTCGGCAAGCCAGAAAGACTTGTTGCCCCCATGCAGAGAGTTGCACATTGCCGTGATGGGGAGTATTCCCGTACCGGCGCCCTCCTGGAACAACTTGTATGTCCGAGTTCGTCGAGACAAGTAGCGAACGTCAAAGAGGCTAACGAAGCCCGAACGTGTACAGAGCACTGTAGTCCTCCCATCAGAGGAGCATAACATATCAGTTGGTACGCCTAGAGAGCTCTCGGGCTCAGCCACATTGAAGACACAGCGACCAGCCCTAACATCAAAGCCAAACACACTGCCGTGATGGTTAGCAGCGATCACAACGTTCTCAATATCAGTATCGAAGCTTTCAATAGCTGCAATACCAGCGTCAAATACGACAGCTGATTTCCCACAAGTAGGAGCCCTCAATGATACCACGGGTACGTCACCTGGAAACATGTTAAATGCCACCATGAGGCAAGTAAGGCTACCCTTAGCAGCCTACTAGTGGTGCTCTATTGGACAACCTTACCTGGCGCGTCCATCCGATATACATAGAGGGAAGGTGAAGCACCGCCAACGACTACTGATTTACAGTTCCGCAAAGCCTTCATCGGGAAGTGATAATGTGTTATAGCAGCAAGGTCCAACTCCTCATCGGGGAGGGGCATCATTTTACTGCAAGTCGGTGCGACATCATCCTCGAGGATGTGTCCCCGCCAGGCACGGAGCTGAGTGAAGACATTCGAGCTTCCGGAAAAGAGAAACCCTACCACGCCATTGCCTCCCATCGCTATGATTAAGCGACCATCATCGCTGGCATCTACCGCAACAACCTGAATGGCCTAGTTCTATAGGAGCGACATGTCATACACGATCCGATGGGCTTCAATAACGAGTAAAATACGAATAGCAGATTCCAATAGAATTGGCTTTGAAACCCACCGGAGTCGTATGAGAGGCCCCTCTCCCATCCACTGGGTGTCCAGAACTCATACTATTCACGCTCTGTGACGATCCACCGCCACCAAAGTCGTATTCGAAATCATAGATTGTGCCGACAAGAGAGCCTCCAGGCCGCCAAGCTGAGGGAGTCGCCAAGGAGTACCTGCCTCACAAGGTACTACTACCCAAGTTTGCCTGTCAGATGTGCAAACTACTGAACTTGTTGATAGTCGGCAGGTCGACAGACAGACTCACCCAGAAGAGTCGTTTGAGGCAGCATGATCTATTTCAACATTGCCAAGAGGGGCTGATTCCGATTGAAGAGATCCGACTGAGATCGACGATTCGCTGATGTTACTCGTGCCTGATGAACACCGTAGACTGGCGAAAAATAGAGAAGAATAGCTCACTATTATGGTCCATAGCGATCGGGGACGATCCAGCCTCCATAGTGGGGCTAGTTACTAATGTCATCCCTTCGACACTTGGTGGGTCAACTCCAGCACGGCATTGCAAATGGAGTCTCTGACCCCAACGTATTATGAATATGCACATCCTTAAGATGCCTCACCTGAGCCCGTACTCTCCTATGACCATACATGCCGTAGCTCTCCCCGTCGTTCCCAAGAACACCTCGTATTTCATTAACTATCTGGAGTTTCTTCTTGCTTACATACAGTGTTTCTTGGGATCCATCTAAACGGTTGAGTATCCCGAGTGCTGGCTTCGGAGGAGGTAACAGTAGATGCCGTGCTCTCCAGTCTTTCAGGAGCTTATTCACAGAACCCTCGAAACCCAGAGTGACATCACCCTCCGCAATAAAGCGATAAGGGAGGATAGCTGGTACATTGGGATTAGAGATAGACACTTTAATGATCTGCATGGGACCAGCGGTGCTAACAGCCATCGGCTCTCCCATAGGTTGTCCATGAGACACTGTGCCTTCGTAGAATTTCTTGGCCAAGCCTATTCTGGCGACATCGGTAGTGTCCCCAAGGGTTTCCCCGATAGTTTGCTGACCAAGTACCAGTTCGTATGAAACGGGACAGAGATATTCGAGATCTCCAAAGCATCTCCATCCATTGGGCAAATATTCGGCCTCCTTGAGATGACTGAATGAGCGCCGTCTAAGATAGACGTACCTACATGAGAGCCGTGCACGGTCTTATGCCGAGGTGGAACAGATTCATTGGAACATGAGGCGTCAAAGTTCATCATTCTTAAGGATACCTTACTGAAGAGCGTTCCCGATGTGTTTCGTAGTAATGCTGCGAATCAAGGCCCTGGCAGTGGCTTGTATACATACATTAGGATGACAAAGATAGGGAACAGCGGATTCGGCAAATCTCATAACCGACTCCCGGTGAACTGAGTTGGGCCCTAACATGATAATTATACATCACCATTCCAGGGTTCCCCCGTATAACCCACCCTCATCAGGTAAAACCCTGTAGTCCCCTAGCAGCTCGGTTGCACCCATCAGAGCTGCTAGGGTGAGCCGGTCATCACCAAGTTCCTTCGACAATGTTTGGGTGAAGTACCTGTATAAACACCCACATTACAACTGCTCGACCGCCACCACGAGCTAGTATAACTTATACTGTATAAGAAATAGCTGTTCCTCATGAAAATCTGATTGACCAGGTCACCAACGGTGGCAGGCCGTCTAAAGCCTATGAGTTAGATGACAGGGATCATGCCCTTCATGTGAATATGGCAAAATATGCATAATGGGGAATACAGCGTAGAGTAGAGTCGTTAGAGTACTTACGGAAGAAGGGCCACGTCAGCGGCAAAAGCCCCTAATAGATTGGCACACCTAGGCGCCAAGCGGCAAAAAGCAACTTTAACTTGAGGGTTGGGGTCGTTCAGAAAGCACATAAGGTAAGGCAAAGTCAGACCCCTGTCAGGAGACCCTTTCTTGGTTTCTTCGTCTTTGTGATCAGAAGGACGAGGGCCCGAAGAAGGGTTCTGGACTGTGAGGGGCGGCACGGTAAGGGAGGATACAGATACATCTGAGACAACAACTTGCATGCACCACTCGGTCTCGTCGACTACTTTTACCATGCGATCCTTTGAGATTCTGGTTTTGGCTTGAATCGGGCTCCTTCGAACACGGTGGCAGCAGCGATGCGAAATCCGGCAGCGCCTGGGGAATGAGTGACAACTCAACAACACCAAGCCCGCTCACTTCAAGGACCGCTAGTTTCACGGCTTCGGCTGCTCTAGGTGGCAATTGGGAAGGATCGGGGCTGTGGGTTGTTGTCGAGGATACCGCCCGACCTGAGAACCGATGACTCCTCTGCATGGTGCGAAGACCTACTACCGTTCGGAGTCATCATTGAGAAGTTATTGCCAGGTGGAGCTCGTTGGAACACTTGTTGTAGATAGGTAGCAACGAAGTTATACATCGCAGCCTTGATCGCTTCAAGACTAGTGGATGGATTACCAGACTGACGACGACGACCACCTCGCTGAGTGAGAACTTGCTATTCTCTATCGCTTACTGGAGCTGACATCTCCCCAATAGTAACAGAGAGGGCGGCCAACCTCACAGCAGCATGTGCAGAGTACGACAGGAGATTGGCATCCGATCTCGTAGCGATAAGGGATAGCAAGACCGGCCAAAGGTAGTCAACGAAAAGGCTGTACACCGCACCTGTGCGGCAACATGAATGTGCCGGTGGCCCTAATTGTGACTTACCTGTGTCAGTGACCCCACCGAATTGGCCTGACGCATACAGCGATTCTTCCGTATCAGCCGTTGAGGGTATACACTCCAAAGCTGCGACGAGTGATCGGAGAGCCTACAGCAGACGAGATCGAATGCTGCTCAGATAGCCGTCAGCGGAGTGACGGCTTACCTGAGTTCGGCACTCAGCTGTCGGCTCTGTACTCAATGCTGCATGGCAATGAGGGATGACCAGCTCGAGCAAGGTATGACGGCTGCAGAAAGGAGCTAGGGTCTCTGATACAGAGGGTAAGATACTATGTATAGTGTGTTGTGGTGTATAGTGACATACCGAGAATCATCAACGATACTTGCCGGGTTCGAGGATGGCTTCCTGCATGCCCGGCCGATGTAACCATCCCTGACAGGAATCTCAATGGGGGAGACACACTGGAAGTGATTGAGTCCTTCCATAGGCTGCCCATGATAAGCAATGATACTAAGCTTACCGATGAGAACGAATAGGACTTCCCGATCGGTATCACCCCCATCTGAGGTCTCATCGATCTCCTGCTCAGGAACAACCGGTCCATCGGGGAAGAAGAGTAGTAGTAGCTCGGTCATGTTGCGTGATAGATGCTTCTCCCAGTCCGCCTGTACCTGATACTCCCAATACTGCTCTCAACGCTCAGTCCACAACACATGCACCTTTCCCCCCTGACAGTGAGCCTCCGCACTTCTCTTCCACAATGATAACAGCATGCCATGAAAGGCTCGACACCTCGATGGGCGTAACTCGGGATGAGGTAATGGACGCCCGTCGCCAGAGATACCACATGCAAGCGGATCGTAATGAGCTGAGTTATCAGTCATTGCAGGGTCTCGAAGAGGCCTCGTACGTATAGCAATCGACTGATCTCCGTTCAGTGCCTCCGGGCGTTGCATATGTTCCTGATTTTGGAAGAAGGCAAACTGCTGGCTCTGGGAACTCTCGTAGACCTAATGAAGAGCTCCGATAACCAAATGAGTATAACTCACAAACAACTCACTGCACTGAGAGTATTCTCATCAATGTTGGAGCAGCCGTCAGACACCACCCTTCTGACGGCTTGTATGAAATCAGAGGCCGTCGGCTCTCTGCCATCTCCGATATATCGTAGCTTCCTCAAGTGGTCGAGTAGGGTATCTCTAGATACCTGAACAGCGACAAAGCTACTATTGTTAGTGACGTCAAGCCAGTGGTGACCTACGAGCATAATAATAAGATAGGGTAAATTGCGGACTATCAGATCTATCCTCATATCGGCCGCCATATATATCGGATTGGATTGGATAATGACACCTACGAGCCACCGAAGAGTGCCGAGTGTATCACCGCGGGACTGGGGCCCACTCAATGGCAGGAGGGCTTCTCCGAACGCTCTCGGGAATAGAGAAGTTTTATCAGATTCCTTGCTGTCTGACTGCATCGCAGGCACCATGAGAAGCGATAATGGCAATGGTCTCGATGTTGGATCCAGGGATAGTAGGGAAGCTATCAATTTACGTATCCGAGGATTCTAACATAAATGACATCATGTAAGGAGGTAGCAGCAGAAGAGAAGTTGGATAAAAAAGAGCGATAAAGCCCTGGTGCTAAAGTACGCGCAATATAAAGACCCAATTTTGTGTAACATGATTCATGTTTCATGTTTGAAGAGTTTCTATACAAATTTGCAGGTTGATATGAGCAGTAGTTGAGTAGTTGGGGATGCCACACGAAATTGGGTCTTTAGATTGGGCGGAGTGTAGTCCTTACACGAACGTGATGTGTTGCTTGAGCTACATGCGCCTCGGACTCCTTATCATTTCTACCACTGCTCCGGGCCAAGGAGTGCCTGATGGAGGAATGGTCACAACTATATATATGATCACTGGTATTACATCCTGAGGGCGTCCGGTAAGTCAAAGATTGTATGGGAGTGATCAGCGCTGAAGATCTCAGCGATACAACAGCCGAGGCTGAAGGAATCATACTGCTGCTGTGTCGATGAGAAAACCTCGACAGCGTCGATACACATAGGTCAATTGACTGGATCGATGAGTACTGGATCATTTGTTAGAAGTCCTAGGCCGCCATTGCTCCGAATATCCGTATCGAACCTTTCTGGAGCGATATAGCATCTATTCCGTGCCATATAGGACTACGGAGGGAGACGTGCTTGAATAATATGAATGGATACTGTGCCACTACCCCTCTGTGTGAGATCTCTCGATCCATCCCGGGTAGGTCACCACCTGGAGGTGCAATACCAGATGCAGTGGCAAAGAACAAAGAGAACACGGCACTAGCCGCCTCTCCTGCTGGTAAGGTTGCCGGTTTCATCACTCCAAACGAGCCCAAGTCACCAAGCATAACCTTCACAATGAATGCAGATAGGAAGTAATCATGACCCGCTGACCTGCTCGCTCCCGCCGACAATGAAGACGTTCTCAGTTTTCAAGTCTCCGTGGACTCGTCCGAGTGCATGCAACTGGGCCAGTGCACATACGAGTTGGTATCTATCTCGCAAAGGCTACGCCTGTGCATATTTACCATGTCATTAAAAGAAAACGCAAGAGTTGAGCAAGTCCAACCCACTATTCAGAACTACACTCAGGACACTACTACTCGAG